AATTCTTCGCTTAAGTAAATACCGTCCACCCTCTAAGACCGCTTCGCTAAAAAAAAAGACGCAGTTTCTGTGTTCAGTTCTGTCATTGAGTCAATGGTTCTGTCCTGTGTTCTATGGTGGTAGCGTGTGTACGTGTCGGCGCCGGCAGTTCGTTTTTTCCTTTTTAGGTCTGGATGTTATTTTTATTAAAAAATAATGGAGAAGAAACTTAAAAATTGGGGCTTGGAATGTTTACTAGACAAATTTTTGGGTAAGTAAATAATATTTCATTAATTTAAAGTAATTAACTAGGCATGATCGTAAAAATGTAGTGTAAAATGGATAGCATACGACAGGTAATAGACAATAGCACATAAACAGCAGAAAGGCTATAGCCTCCAATTCAGCTATATAATTTTTGTTTTAGAAAACGAGATAGATATCGATATTATGGTAAACCTAAGCGAGGAGAATTTAAAGGAATTAATTCCAAAAATAGGATTGAGGATCAAGTGTAGAGAAAAAATTGAAGAATTAACACCAAACCATCTACGATGATAATGGTAGCCTTCTTAGAGACTCATTTTACAAATTATTTAGCTGGAGATAAATTTTACTGACAATAAAAATACCTACTTAAAAAAATAATAACTATTGTGATTAAAAACCTTACCTTTACATATAGCACCAAAAATGTGATACCTAGGTACTTAAAAAATAAAATATAGTAGGTATCTATGTTAATTAACCGAGAAAGAATGAATTTATATAAATTGACAGTACTTTTTCTAATACCTCTAAGACTGTTAGGTAATAAACCTATTGTGATATCAGTGCCTATTATACTTAGTACTTTAGTACATTAAAATAATATGCCAAAAATACTGTTAAATTACTGTCATAACGATTATATTTTCACTTTTACTTGTATTTTCCGTAGGATAATTAATACAAATATTTTTCAGGTTCACGAATGTTTTTTTTTGTAAAAATTATTCCGTGTCGCTAGACGAGGGAATTTTTTTTCTATTCAACGACTTTTTTTAAGAATAGTGTAAAGTTATTTTAAATATATACTATACTTTTATCAAATATAAAAAAGGAAAAGTAAGAATACAAGCATTTTATGCAAGTAAAGCGTGTACTTACAATAAGTATAAATAAATAAATTTTAAAGAAAGTATATTCTTAAAACAAGAATACTGTAAAGATTTTACAAAGAAACTATACTTTGATGAAGTACATACTAACGTTACAACAAGAATACCGTAGTCTTCATTGAAGACAAATTTGTATACTTAACTCAAAATTAGTGTGTTTCTTATTTTTAGTATAGCAGTAATCTTAGATTAAACCGAAGTTATCTTTATTTTATAAGAATATGAGGATACTTGAAACAAGTATAAATTTACTTGCGGAATAGGGAAACTAAGCTATACTTGGATAGAGTTGAATTTTCTTGGAATCAGTATAGATTTTTTTCCGTGCAGGTATTCTTCGGTCTGATGTGTATAAACTAAATCTTGACTCATCTGTAAAGAGTACGTTACCCCAGTTTTCAATATTCCAATTAACATGTTCTCTAGCAAATGTTAATCGTGCTACACGGTGTTCCCTGGTGAGTTGAGGTGCAATGACAGCTACTCTGGCTCTAATTCCAGACTGCCTTAAGATGTTTCTCACAGTTTCTGAAGATATACGTACATTCCGAGTCTCAGCCAAGTCATGCTGAAGTTGACTTGCAGTTACATGTCTTCGACGCAGAGCCTGAAGAGTCAAAAATCTATTGTCTGCAGGCGTAGTTGCTGTCGGCCGGCCTGATACTGCTCGTCTGTTATATCCTCCAGTCTCTCGGAATCTAACAAGTACTCGGGATACTGTCGATTGGTTTACACCTACTAAATTAGCCTTGTATCTCTGACTTCGTCCATCTTCAACAAGAGAAACTATTCTAATTACTTGTTCCCTAGTTAAATTTAAATTTATGTTTGCACGACCTTCCATATTCAATATTCTTTGCAAAATTTGTAATTAAACACAAATTGTGTGCACTTAAACAAAGCAAAATATAAAATAATAAGTAATTAAATCCGATTAAATCTGACAAAAAAGTTTTTTCGCAGTTTTTTGTGAAACAATACATTGTTTTTGTATTTTCGTTTGTCAACATTTATTGCATTGTATAAATGAATTAAATTTAATGGTAATATTTTTAGTTTTATAGGTGATACTTTCTTGGCGGAGTGTATGTTATCAAAAAACATCCCTAAACATAAATTATGTTTTGTAGGCGTCAGATAGTAGTCTAGTCGATAAGTACTACTGTAAAAAAATATTTTATTACCTCTTTGATCGCTAACAGACTAACGTTAGTCGGGCAGCCTCGGCTTCCCGGTACACTTCTAAAACAATCCATTAACGGCTCGCCATCAAAGGACTGTTTTAGAATGGCAAAAATAAAGGTTTTAGTGCACTTGTGTACGAACAAATGTCTAGTGGCAGAAAATACCTTAGTGGATCTGCTAAACATAAGGTAATGGTGGATTTATGCAGCACAAATCAATATTAACATTGTTGCATAAATGCTTTCATAGTATTACATTCATTTTAACTTTTTAATGTTAATCTTAACTTAATGTTAATTTGTTCTGCATAAATCCACCATAAGAATCAGTTTTAATAATAGAAAATGTTTGCATTTTTTTACGTTTTGTTAGTTTTTGATCGTGTACTAAGGGTACCTATTGTATTATAAGCTCAAAAACTAACAAAATATACAAAGTACTCCTATTTTTAAATTTTAAAAAGAATAATAATGAAAAAAGTTGATTTTAAGTAGTTAAGCTATGAAAATGCATGATTTAAATAATATCATTGCTTTTAAAAATTATAATAATTAAAAATAATGTAAATTTTAAAAAGAATATTAATGAAAAAAGTTGATTTTAATTAATTAAGCTATGAAAATGCATTATTTAAATAATATCATTGCTTTTAAAAATAATGTTAATATTTATTTTTACTTTACGAAAAATAGGAACTTATTTCTGTAGGTACCAATTTTGCAAAAGAAAAATCATTTATTGTTTTTGATAACTCGTTCTTGGGCGGCCGCCATATTAGATTTAGCTTGACGTCACTCAAAGACTGAAAAGAAAGCGAGTAAATAAAAACGTGGTGAAAAAATGAATATAAAAAATGAATTTATTTATATTTGGTAAAACCATTCTTCTCTATAATATTTTGCAGTTTTATAGGCATGGAATTAATTAAATTTTGCATGTTGTTATTTTCTTTCAAATTGTTTTACTCAATTTAAATAATATTAATAAGCTCATTTCTATTTCTTGATGTAAATGTATATTTATACATTTTTTTACAAGACATTCCAAAATATTTCGATTGGATTTAAATAACGGCTCTTCGACAGCCAAGGAAGCGTTTTTACGTGATTTTATTTAAACCAATTACGAACCACATTAGCAATGTAGGTAAACAGTTACTGGCGAGTTATTCTTAAAATAAAAAATATTTTTTTAAATAGGTTTATCAAAAGGTGTTACGTGTTGAAATATAAAATAGTTACGTATCATTTACGAGTTTATCGACCTCCTACGATATGCACTCCACAAGACACTTCAGAAGAAGAAATTAATGACAGAATCGCTGTTGTCAGTTTTGTGCAGATATTTTTTATCAAACTGATTTCTGCGACGATAAACTCGCAATTGCCTCATACAGAAATTGGATCGGCAGTTAGTTCTAATAAAAAAAATCCTGAAATAGTCTTGCCGAATCCCACTCTTGATAACATTTTCCCTGAAAAAATTTTTGATTTTTATTTACTCAAGATTTTTCCTTGGAAATTTCGCTTGTGGCATTAATTTAAAACCACTCGCCTGGCGGCTCGTGGTCTTAAAAATTAATGCCACTTGCGAAAAAACATTCGTATAAAAAAAATATAATATATAATATATAAAAAATTTTACCAGTAGTGGTATTATATACGAAAAAAACTCTCTCCCAATATTGAGCGTTTTAATTTTAAAAAAATATTAGCAAACTCTACTCTTGCATCATTCTTCCGTCAAGGCTTTTAACACTCACGCAGATAATCAAACCTTGTTCTTGCACCAGTTTTATTGCTATCCTAACTGATGCTGGAAACTTGGTTTCCTCTGGCTTGAATGTGGGTTTTTCCTCAAATATTCAACCAATCTTTTACTGCAGTTGTCTTTCTTTAACCCCCAGAACCCATTATCCTACTCGGATCACCAGTTTCTACTCACTTTTGGTTTAATTTTTGAATCGCCCATTTGCTTCAATTTATTTCATCTGCTATGCGTTGTCAACACCATTTCTCATATTTTAGCGATAATGTAGCAATCTGATATCGATTTTATAATCAGTGGCCTCAAAAACCCTCCTAGTTATTTTATTGGAGATAAAGCTATTTCATCACAAATCTCGTGTCATTTTGAGGCATTCTTTTTTTGTTTTAAAATTTTGGATTCGTAATCAGCGACCTCGAAAACTCCCCAGCTACCGATTTTTATGAATTTTGAAGACCTTCATGTTTTAAACAGCTTTTTTGAGTTTCGGCCTACTGTTAATAATAGTAAATGATTACAAAAATTTTATTAAAAATATGTTTTCATTAAAAAAAAATATTTTCATAAAGTTTTTATGCGTTTGTTAAGGATAAGGATAAAATGTAAATAAATATAGTAAAATTTAAGACAATTCCATTATTTAACTTATTATTTGCATTATTAATAATAAAAAATAAAGGTATTTTATATAATACTAATGAAACCCTTAAAACTATTTCTGTAACGATATAAATTTAATTAGAAAATAATATAATCAAAATGGACGGGAAAACAATTAACGTAAATAAATAAATTCAAGGATGAGGAAAAATGTGTGTGTTGGGTGGAAAGGCATGCGCGTTGGTTGTTAAAAATTTTCGCAGAAATTTAACGGAGAAAAGCGCTCATTCTCAAATCAGCGCGCATGATGCCAATAACAGCCAGGTCAAAGCACGTTGCCGCATCTGTCGTCGTGTATCGCGTAAACGAAATATTTGCCGCAAATAATTTGCTCTTATTGGAACTTGTTAAACTTTGTATGTGTTAGCGATTCAATAATTCCTTACAAATTAAACTTTGTGCTACGATTGTCTTCAGTTAAGTGCTAATAAGCATACTTGTTTTGGTATTCCTACAAGTGACGGCCAACCATGGCAAACAACGTGACGTACTGTGATTTGAAAGTATTTCATAAGGGCTTCTCGAAATACAGCGAGTATATGGTGTTTATTGTTTGCATTTCCGGGTGCATCTTAAACTGTTTTAATATAGTTGTACTCAGCAGAAAGCAGATGCGTTGCCCGACAAATTCCATCCTACTAAGTTTGGCTGTGGCGGATATATTGGTAATGTTAGAGTACATGCCGTTTTCATATTTAACCGCTAAAGGTCCTGATTATTCCGCTTACTACTACAGCTACTATTTCGCCGTTTATATAATACTTCACGCGATCTTCTCGCAGTCTTTTCATTTTATATCTTGTTGCATTACCATTATTTTGGCTCTCTGGAGATATATCGCTGTCAAGTTTCCGGCGAATAACAAAAAGTGGTGTAGTCCTAGAATAACGATGTGGACAATTTTTCTTACATACACTCTGTGTCCGTATATTTGCGTTCCGATTCTTCTAAGCTCCACTGTCTCAAACACGGTGGCTTACGTCGACAAAAACAACAACATACTGGGCCTCAAGGAAGTCGGAAATAACACTGAGAACCTTACCAAAGTCAAATTATTCTATGCCAATTCCAACGAGAGCATTTTTAAACCCATCAGTCTTTTTATTTATGGAGTAGTTGTAAAGTTGGTGCCATGCATTTTATTAACGGTTTTATCTATACTTATAATTATCGAATTACTGGCAACGAAGGAGAGAAGAAGAAAGCTGATGGCTCCTACTACAGGTAAAGAAGGAAATAGTATGATTAAGAAAAAAGTGAATCAAAGATTTTTGGAGAAAGAAAAACAAGCCTACAGAACAACGAAAATGCTTTTGGTTATTTTGATGCTCTTCCTATCTGTGGAATTTCCTCAAGCAATTTATGGCCTGCTTAATCACATCATTGGAGACGTTTTTCAAATTGAATGTTATCAACCCATAGGTAAGTTTATTAAATTTAAACATGCAAATTTATACTGGGATTCGTAAATCAAGTCGTTATTAAATTCAATAATCATAACAACTAATTAACCCCTTGAAATGAAACTTGTGTAAAATGACATTAAGAAATTTATTACTAGTATTTTTCCTTAACTTTAAAACAAAAATGCTTTTATACACTTTTATTTTTAAAAACAAACCTGTTAATAATAGTATATTATATATCAAGTTTAATAAAGGCCATTTTAGACAAACATTTAATTTAGACGAGAGCAAGTGCTTAATTAAATGAGTGTCTACGCGAATACTTATTATTATTTAAAAATGATTTAAATTAAATATTTGTATAGAGCAACATCTATGAAAGAATAGAGTAACCAACTTGGGAATTTGTATTAATGCCAAATTTTTATGTGTAAATCGAAATGCATCCCTTAAAAATGGACCATTTAATCCGATATAAAAGCAGTTTTTTACAGTAAAAGTAAAGAAATTGTTTTATAGGCACTCCAGGGTGGAATGTCCAACCGAAATTAAGTTAAATCTAGTTTACTGCCGGCGAAATTAAAAAGTCAGTATAATGTTCACTTTTTAAGTATTGGCGTTGAGAAACTATTTAATACTTTTGTATTGAGAAAATAAAATAATTTTTACATTTAGTAATATTTTACTAGAAGAGCACTTTATTCTAACGATTGTATGACATTTAACAACTATCAATTAACCTAAAACTAACTTTAGCCTGTGACTAAAATTCTGTTCCTAACTTCAGCCTATGACTAAAAGGCCATAGATCCATATAAACTTTTTAAATATTGGCGTTGAGAAACCATTTAATACTTTTGTATTGAGAAAATAAAATAATTTTTACATTTAGTAATATTTTACTAGAATAGGACTTTATTTTAACGATTGTATGACATTTGACAACTATCAATTAACTTAAAACTAACTTTAGCCTGTAACTAAAATTCTGTTCCTAACTTCAGCCTATGACTAAAAGGCCATAAAGCCACAACTTGTCAATGTGTATTTAAAAGGTCACTTAGTGACATGTAAACATTTACATGTAAACATTTAAAGGTGAGAGTAGTAAATATTTAAAGGTGAGAGTAGAAAATATATTGAAAGTAAGGATCTTAATATAATTTGAGAACATATTAATTAACTAATAATACAAAATTGTAATAAAATTTATTTAAACCCCAGTATTATTTAAGTATTGTAGGGTCGCCTTCATTATTTTAATGGTTTTGAAATAATATATACACAAATGATCAAAATTGTTGCATATTTCTGTATTTTAATTTTCGCTTTGTATAACATTCTGTTTTTTGTTTTTTTGGAATAAATTTTCATTTAATAGTTATAATACGTAAAATAAAGAAAATTTAATATATTAAAGTATATATTTTTGTAGGAAATATTAAAAATAAAACTAAATATAATTTTTTTAAATTATCAGAAACGATTTAGGTGAAAAAAAAATTTAAATATAAATTTTATTTATAGAATGAAGGTGATTATTTTCTCAAAATTGTTTATAATTGTAATGTACACTATGCATTTTATTGTCAATAAATTATTTATCTAAATACTGTTGTCAAAGTCATCATCCTCGTCGGAACTATCGTCTTCGAGGAGGATGATTGGTTCGGAAACTTTTATTTTTATTATTTCCTAGAAAAATACTTAAATTTTTTAAATTTTCTTTATTTTACGAATTATAACAATTCAATGAAAATTTATTTCAAAACAACAAAAAACAGAACGTTATACAAAGCGAAAATTAAAATACAAAAATATGCAACAATTTTGATCATGTGTGTACTTAATTTGTTGGTAATTAATTGATGATTCTTTAAAGCACTCTGTTACAGCGTTCTCTAAAAATTAATTAGTCAAAAATGACAGTTATCAGTGCCTGCTTTTTCACTTATACCATGGTATACCATGGGATAGCATGGTATCCCCGATATAATAGCCAGTTCTTATGTAAAATTATCCGCATAATCCGAAAATGTCGTCAAAAGTTATAAAAGTAAAACAGTTTTTGAGATATAGTCAATTTTAGATATAATATATTATTATAAATTATATTATATTATATTATATTATATTATATTATATTATATTATATTATATATATATATATATATATATATATCTATATTATATTAAATAATATATTAGTCAATTTCATATATGGAATTGACTATATCTTAAAAACTCCTTTACTTTTATAATTTTCGGATTCTGGGGACAATTTTACATAAGAATTGGCTATTATATCGGGGATACCTTGCTATCCCATGGTATACCATGTACTAATAACTGTAGTAATTAGTCATATTTGACTAATTCATTTTTGAGAGCGTACAATGTCTGTATGAAACTTATTTTACTTAACAATGAATTAAAAAAAAAGTGATTTGTTTTTTAAGACAGTGGGGCGTTTAATTGACATAATAACCATAATGAAAATTGTGTTTTTATATATTTTTTTTAATTTACTTTTTTATACTAGTTTTTTTTCTTTGGTGAATGTTGCAGTTTTTTTATTTATACCCTTTTTTAAGACCAAAACCTTCCCTGCGAAGCGTTTTCGTACCACACCACAGACTGCTGATTATATTTAAGTATATTATTATTATGTTTTATTCATTATTTTAAATGGTCGTTAAAATCACTTAAATTGCACTTTAACTCCACTCCAAAAATTTAATTAAATCAATGACAGTGCCATTTTCTTATTTTAGTAAACTTGGTAATCATCTTGCACAAAGGATTTATATTTGCAAATACATATTAACTTAAAATATTACTGACATTGACTTTATTTAATATGTATTACATATTATGTAACATATATGTTTAGAGGCTAATTTGTGGCTTAATTTTAGTTTGTGATCGTCTTATACCTTACGATTTTTTATATGCATAAATGGAAAGTTAGAAGATGAGTATTGTATTAGGTATTCTTCATGCGTAAAAAAATATTTGTTACTGTAGTGACTATAATCTGGTCATAAATTTGGTTTAATACATACTAATAAATTTTATTTTTTAAATAAATTTTCAACAAATACACAAAACTTTAATAATTTTATTTACATTTTGTTTATTTAAAAACGTTCGATAAATTAATTAATTTATTTTTGTTCATTAGTGTCACTGGCAGTTCAGTCCTATTAGTCTAAGATCCCAAGTAAGGTCGACCTTCACCCATCTGCTTACCAGATGAAAATTATATTTTATCAAATAAAATATGTTTCTGAACATAAACCAATAGGGTTGCCATAAAAAATATGATCATGGCTAAAATAAATAAAAAATTAAAAAAATAATTTATTTTTTAAATTTCACCGACTTGCTTGCCAAATGAACGAAATTCCAATGGAAAGCATACAACATACAGAATATGTAACAGCTAGGTTGCCTACCTTTTTCTGGTCCCTATTACGCATGGAATTGCCCTTGTACAAACAGGTAAGTTGATATCATATGCTTACCACTTAAAAAATATATCAAAATGAAGGCAATTTTATTACGAATACAGAAGTATAGGGTTGCTTTGAAAAATCCGTTCATAAATAACGGTTGCTAGACTTTTAAATTAAAAAATTGGAGCAAGCAAAGATGTACTATCGCTAACAAAAAAAACTTATACAGCTATATTGTGGCTGTGTGAATAGTATTCACTGAATACTTTGGTAAAAACTGTGTCCAGATTAATTTTTTTAGGAGTGGCTTCACAAATGATGCATTTTGCTGAATAATTTGTAAATACATAATACAAAGTAAAAAGCATCTCAAATATACGTACCTATACATATATTCATCAGTGGCAGAAGGGGATGCAAAGACTGTGCCACAAGCTACCGTCAAAACCCTATTTACAAATAAGTCTTAAATCACCTGTTTGAAATTTAGTTCAGTTGAAATATTTAATTATTTATTTATTAATTTAATATTTAATATAATCATTGTTGTTTTGTCTAAAAGTTCTTAAAGATTAACTTCAGCTGTTACAGAAATATGGTCTGGCAAATATTTATTTTTCGTTGTAAGAAGGGAACGATAGCTTGGAAAAGAGTCAGGAAGTATCGCGTTTACAACGGAACGTAAAATTTCGTACTTCCTGACAGTTAAATTAAGATAATAAAATAACACAATGGCCTTTATGGTTGTCATATATTTAGAGATTGATGTATTTCTTTTGGTAGTCGAAAACCGCGTCGATCTTTTGGAGGCAAAACACAATTCCTACGAAGTATGATTTTTCACTAGGGCCTCTACTCGCCGAATTTTACTTTTGTTATAGACAATTCTTCGAATAATTTTTGGGGTCTTTCCATTGAACTAGAGTTTCCTGTGGACTAGTTGTTGGGCGTTTATTTAAATTAATATTCATTGTGCCATTAAGCCAGGCAGCATAGTCTTTTTCAAGTTTATTGCGTGATCGGAAGCATTCTTGCCACGATTTATTAATTTGGCGACAAAAACTGATACTATTTTCTTTTAAGTTTTGTCGTATACTTTCAGCTATATCAGTAGGCAGATTTGACTTTTTCTAAAATTATGACGGGCCTTTCATTTTTTTCCTAAGCACACTAAATACCCTTCAAATAATGCATACGACCTTTTTTAAAAAAGTTTAGCAAAAGTTCCTGGGAATTTTGAAAAAATTAAGTTTCACAAGTATATATACTATATTTTGATCCAATTTGTTATTCTTTACACACTGGATTTTGAGATACCACCACTATCTTTTGTTTTTCCCATGACCGCCATATTAAAATTTTACATGATTAGATAAAAATAATCAAGGAATCCATGTATCATCACATGAGTTATGGCGGCCATTAAAAGCAAGAGATCGTGATGGTACCTAACTCAAAACATACTAGCGAAGAAATTTAATGAAAATGTAGATTAAAATTAACTCCTTCCTTCCTCCGGTCGGTCTGGGGCTGGCCAAAAAGCCCTAAAAGTCAACTT